AAGGCAGCAGCGTATCTTGCAGTAGTTTTCTTTGATAAATATTGTTAGCCAGGTCTTAAAGATCCTGTAACACAATTTTTTTGTATGATTTTATATCATAAATATGATGCTTAAATTAAGATTTATCAATTTTGTATGTTTCAAAAAGCATTATTTATAAAGATATTACCGAATTTAACGTTTCATGTTTAAGGAGGAAATAAAAAAATTATTTTCTATAAAGTCTTAGTCAAATTTTTCAATAAGAAATGAATGCATATATTTTAATGATTACATATAATATGTACTAATATTTGCAGTAACTATTTTACATATTCTTCGATGTTTGAAAATTGTTTTATAAACATAATTAAATACATATATAAAATTTACTAAAGTGTGGTATACAACCTTAACAACAACATACAGGATCTTTAACGGTGCAACTTGTAAGCTTATAAATGTAATATATAACAAAGGACCGTTTTTACATGGACATATAGCTTGTCAAAAGCAGGAAAAAGAAGACTTCATATATCTACTCACTTGCTTTATTTTATTAAAAGTTAAGATTTATCTATTTAATCATAGAAGTCGTGTATAAAGATATGAATTACGACGTTACAAACGCGCAACGTCATTGAAATTCTCATGTACACCATACCTAGAGGCTCGGGTTATATTTCCAAACAACCGTTTATATAGGGACATATTACCCGTAAAAATCTTCTAACTAATAGTATAGACAATTTGTTACGAGCCGCTACGTATATAATTTCTCTATAGAAAAAAAAACTTCAATTCCAATAAATTTACATACTGCAATCGTTTTAATTAATAAAAATATAAATGGTTGAAAATATACTTCAATGTAAGAAAAACTTTATTCCACTAAAATGCATGAAATCATTTAAAATGTACACGCTCATCCCAAAAATAAATAGACAGAAACATCCAAAATGTAAAATCTTGGATGTGAATTAATCTAAATGGATTTTAATTTTGCTGGATACGCGTTACACGCATATTTTCACAAATGAGGTCATTATTTGAATATTTACGTAGCGCACACACCCGCATACAAGTATGTTTTGAGTCTATATTAGTCTTGTACTGACTGATCTTGTTTGCTATGTTCTGAATCTCCTGTACCTGGTCAAAAGATGAAGCAGACAAAACAACAACAACAACAATCTGATAAACAAAGATATGTTCATAAAATACAAGGACCGGTTCTTATACATTAGCAGTGTATAATTATGTGGATACGAATTCAGCTTATCATAATTAATACTCATTTTACATGCAAGATTCTTATGAAAAAAAGGTTCGAACCCGAAAACATGATATAAATAATCGACTAACACACATTTCGCAGAATGTTATCCTAAAAAGATTTCCCAGGATTTTCACCTTTTCACCGTTTCATGGACTTGCCATCTACGCACCTGCGTAGTGAGCTACTTCCCTACATCTAGGTAAACTCTACCTCTGATTTTCATATGCATTAAACAAGATCTATAATGCACTAAAGTTTCTTTCTAATAGCTATAAACATTCAAGAAAAATAATCTGTGTATATGAGATTGTGTTTGAACAGCGTGTCTGTTTATGAGTGTAATGTAATTAATACAATATGTACATTAAAACAGGTATTATATTGTACGAGAATTATGGCCGGATAATTAATGGATTCATTTTTTCGGGAATAGTTTTTTCCTTCCTATTTACTACAAGAACATATACGGAAGAGCATTAGTGCCAGGTGTATGTTTTTTATTAACTCGAAATTTCGAGTTACTAACTCGAAATTTCGACTTATTTATCTCGAAATTTCGAGTTACTAACTCGAAATTTCGACTTACTAACTCGTAATTTCGAGTTACTTATCCCAAAATTTCGAGTTACTATCTCGAAATTTCGACTTACTAACTCGAAATTTCGAGTTACTTATCTCGAAATTTCGAGTTACTAACTCGAAATTTCGAGTTACTTATCTCGAAATTTCGAGTTACTAACTCGAAATTTCGACTTACTAACCCGAAATTTTGACTTATTAACTCGAAATTTCGACATACTAACTCGAAATTTCGAGTTACTTATCTCGAAATTTCGACTTAGTAACTCGAAATTTCGACTTACATTGCACGACTTTCATTGGTTGCCGATGAAAGCAAGGATTGAATTCAAGATACTTTCTTTCGTGTGTAGCTGTTGCACATTGACAGAGCACCTTAAACATTTATTTAACAGAACCATTAAATAGGGTCAAATTGTCCACACATACAGAACATATCCTTCTTTTTTTTGTGGAGGGGGGGGGTGTAAATTCACACTTTCTACATTTCCGTGTTAACCGGATGTTTCTCTTTTCTTAAGCACACATACAACCATCATGTGGAGAAACAACAAGTCCAAAACTACCCTATTGTAAACTGTGCAATATCATGTGTTAAATAAGTTTTAAATGGCGTGTATACGCCAGTTAGTCTGTCACGTTTCTTTATACTAATAATGTTTTTTGTAACATTATTCATTATTTACTAATACTTTGATTCATATTGTGTTGATAAAAGTTGATAAAAGTGGAACTTGTTGTTATATATATGTTGGGAATAATATAAAAGCATCCGATTTTACAAGAAATATAGTCAGTCCAACAAGTTTGACAAAGGCCTCAGCACGCCCTATTTTGGCCACGCCGCGATACGTTCCTCATGCAGATGTCCCACACGTGAATTATAGGATCGTTTTATTCAAAGGGATGAGAAAAGTATGATTAGTGAAAAGATATGTTCGAACAGATGGTATACAATATAAGGTGTGAAGAACGCCTGAACGTACAAATTAAAGGAAGCCTTGTGTTTTTGAGGTCGGGTGTGTACATGCCATTTCTAAGTTTAAGTTTAATTTCAATAGTTTTTGTCCAGGCACCCGTTTCTCTATCTCCATCGTTCAACGGCACTCCCTACTATGTCTTATATCATCTAACTAATAACTTTGGCCATTTTTGTAATGTTAATAAGTCGAAATTTCGAGTTACTAAGTTACTAACTCGAAATTTCGAGATAGTAAGTCGAAATTTCGAGTTAGTAACTCGAAATTTCGAGATAAGTAACTCGAAATTTCGAGTTACTGAGTCGAAATTTCGACTTACTATCTCGAAATTTCGAGATATGTAAGTCGAAATTTCGAGTTAGTAACTCGAAATTTCGAGTAAATAAAAAACATACACCTGGCACTAATGCTCTTCCGTAAGAACATGAAGCTGTGTTGTTTTTTTCTACATTGATACTCAACAGAAGAAAAGTGTTCTGTTTAACCTTGGAAATAAAAACTTGTATTGTATTGTAAAGAACGAACTTGCATATGACTTGTGTATTCTAATTAGTATAATAATTAACCATGGAATAAAAGTTTGCATGGGAAGATTTTGTGACTTCTTATAATTATAAACATTTAGTACAATGAATTCACTCAATTATGTATTATTTATCCTTACCATGCTAAATATCTTAAATTGACTTTCCAGACAAAACCACCATTTAATGGAAATATACCGAAATATGTACTGACCAGTGCACGAAAATTAGCATGTATCTGGAGGTGTGCTGCTTGTTAGTCTTGATGACTTTTAGAGGGCACTTTCCAAATTTTATTTATCCTCTAATAGATTAACTCCGGAATTAAGAATATTTGGAATTTTCCCAGCTAATCCGTAGGTACGAATATGCGCAACAAATCTATTGCAGCCAGTAGTGCACCGTTAAAAGTTTGTTTGTACCTACGGAAACCTACGATTCGGATAACATCTATTGGAGACCGTATCAAGCACATACATCAATATGTAAAGATAAATCCAAAGCCGCTTTTTAAGACAAGCTGCCAAAATGAGACAAACGGTTTCCTTTCTCCTAGTCAAGTCAAGTTGTAAGTCATGGAAAGATGTGTCGGCAGGTTTTAACTTGAATATTCGTTACCATCCAATTTTTGTTAGATTAATATCAGGATATATCACAGTCAATAAATAACTTTTTAAACACCATCTCAAAATAACAGTAGTACCAATGTCTGACACAATTTTAGGAGACTATTGTTTTGGTTCTTTACATCTATACATCACAGCATGTATCCAAATAATCAGGGGTTGATGATAATAACAGTCTCTGAGGATAATAGCAGTATCTAATGATAATAACATTATCTGATGATAATAACAATATCTGTTGATAATAACACTATCTAATGATAATAGCAGTATCTGGTGATTTTAACAGTCTCTGACGATAATACCAGTCTCTGACGATAATATCAGTGTCTGACGATAATACCAGTGTCTGACGATAATACCAGTGTCTGACGATAATACCAGTGTCTGATGATAATACCAGTGTCTGACGATAATACCAGTGTCTGACGATAATACCAGTCTCTGACGATAATACCAGTGTCTGACGATAATACCAGTCTCTGACGATAATACCAGTGTCTGACGATAATACCAGTGTCTGATGATAATACCAGTGTCTGACGATAATACCAGTCTCTGACGATAATACCAGTGTCTGATGATACTAACAGTTCGCAAATGAAACAGTAACATTTGGGCTGCCGAAATGTTCGTCGACCATGCATTGCCAAGCGATTGACTTGTGTCAAGAAAGTTACGTACGTTATCTTTTTAGTACCCATGGTACTGTTGTCCACATTTCTGTTTATAGAGGCCGTTCTGTCAAATGTAAGTTTTAAAAAGATGACTTGTGTGGAATGACTGTCCTTTAACATCCACCATAGTCGCCAGATTAGCACCCTGCGACCTTTTCCTCTTTCCTGACTGAAAAAAGTTTTCACGTCATTGCGCTACAAGAGTAGAAATGGACTTGGGTCGGCCATATTCAGTTATTGAGAGGTATACCTAAGAAGAACTATGTTGAAGCATTTAAAATTTGAATAAACGTCTGGAACTTTGCATTCTGTAAGAGGGGATTTTGAAGGGATGACATAGAATATTGTAAAATAGATGTTCTTTTGTTGAATTTATTGTCTATACTGCATTACCCACCCTCGTACACGTACCTTTCATGAACAGCTTATTTATGATATACCAATAATGTTTAGAAATATTTCATCATAAAAACAAAAGCACTTACAGTTATGAGAATACATGTACATGGCTGTAGTCATAGACTTGATTTGTCAAAAGTCACTTTCAGAGAAGTAGTTCATAGACAAAGAAAAAAAAGCAATACAATATTTGCAACAAATCTAAAATTAATTTTCAAAATTCTGTCAAGTCTTTTCATCAATATAGAAAGGCTCCACTAAATGCTGTCCCATAGAACGTGTCTGACCCATACAGTTTACCGCCGGTAGTTTGAACCCAAACATACTGTCCGCTCAGAAGCGTGACAACAGCATGTCCTGTAGCCTGTGTACTTTTCCCTCCCGGATTTATAATTGCACTGGATTGAAGAACGTTTTCCAGCATAAGTTGGCCAGTTATCTCTTTAGTATCCCAGTGCTCGATCTGAAAGGCAAAGATGTAAGTTCCAGATATAGGTGCTCTGAACATTCCACTGTTGCGATTGTACCCATTTCCCTCATTGTTCAATACAGAGTTGAATTTGATAATATTTCCTGACTCAAAAGTTGTTTCTCTACTAAGAACGGTTGTGAAGGCAATCGCATTTCTACAATTCTTGCCTGGAAAGTAAAAAAGGCACCAATAAATAACTATTAAAATTACTTACGTACTGATGGAAGGCGATTGAATAATTTGAAAGAATATTTACAAACACTTTTAGTGCTCACTTGATGAACTATGTTCTTAATCTTGAATCATTAGTCCGAGTTAAAGTCATTCAAAATGCTTCTCGATTATACATCTAGGTCAAACCCGTCACCGTGACAATGTCAGACTACGCTTTTGAATTTGTAATGAGAAGAAAGTGTTGCAGCGGGATGGTATTCTGGTTACATGAAACGAATATGAGAGTATTTCTTTGAATCACGCACACATAGTCTTTAAATATTTTCTATGTGATTTTACTTTACTTTAAAAGATGTCATGGAATCATATTGTTATATACGGAGCCCCTAAAGTGACATTTTCCGCACCTTTTTTCCGCGGAACTTAATTCTTATTAACGAAATAATAATAATTCGTAATAACGAAATAATAATTCGTTTTTACAAAATATTAATTCGTAATTACGAAATATTAAGAGGATATTTTTTCGTTTGCGTGAAACATGGAATATATTTTCACGAAACATGATAAAATGCCGGTACGGCGAGTGAAAATATGTGGCATTTTATCATGTTGAGTGAAAATATATACCATATTTCACGAAAAACGGAAAAATAAACTTTTTATTTAATTTCATTATCAAAGAAAATGACAACGAACTCCCTTGCTTGCTACCAACTGCAACTGTACAGCGCGAAGTAATTTATGCGTAAGCACGCGCTGTTTGGCGCTACATTGTGACGTCATGTAAACATTTCTTTTAAACGTCTGTACAGCGTTAATTACTGAAATAAAATTATTGGCGTTCGTAGTTAGACCATTTTCTATCATGCTAGATAGTTTACAAAACAAAATTCAATAAAAAGTTGTTTTGTATTTATCAGATTTTTCAAACAAAAGGGCGAAAGAAGTCCCTTAAAATAAATATTGACTCCGCCCACTTTCATATTTATATTTCATATATTTTTTAAAAAAATATGAAATATATCTGATTGATATAGCACCATATTTCATGGGTAAAATTTAATAATAATTCGTTTTTACGAAATATTAATTCCTTTTTACGAAATATTATTTCGTAAAAACGAAATATTAATTCGTAATTACGAAATATTAATTCGTTTTTACGATATATTATTACGTTATTACGAAATATTATTTCGTAATTTCGAAATATTTATTCGTAAAAATGAAATGTTATTTCGTAATTACGAAATAATCATTCGTATATACGAAATAATATTTCGTAAAAAGGAATTAAATTTTTTCTAGGGTTTCAAAGAATTGTGGTAATAGTTATTGTATCATAGTTTGGAGACCTTTCTGTTGAAAATGTGTCAGGGTTAAATCGTATACATATACATGCACAGTGCGTTAACTGGAGTGCGGGTATTAGTTACCCGCACTCCAGAGCATGCCCATTGATTGGCTCATTTTTGCTGGGGTTTACATATTGTGACGGCAGAGAAAGGGAAAGCGACAGAAATGTCATATTCAGATGTTCGTTCATTGGTTCATTTTTGCCGGGGTTTCATATTGTGTAAACAGGGAACGTGCTTTTATGTTTGACTATGATACAAAAGAGAAAGAACACCAAAACACTCGGCAATCTGATAAATACTCGGGGGCTACGCCCTCTCGTACAAATCAGATAGCCTCGTGTTTCGGTGCTCTTTCTATTACTTAATAAGGCCTCGAAACTTAGTTCCTGACTGAATTTAAGACATGTAAATGCAATATAAATAGTGATTATTTTTCTCTACGAGTTTTATAACTTAACACTATTGTATATAAATTAAAATAATCGCCTGGAAATAGCGTTGCCGCCACAGCCGTGATATTACACGCGCTAGGAAAATTTTGTTAAAATGGGGGTCTTGTGCTTCAAATCCAAACACGGACATTCTTTTTCTGTTGCGTTCTGTCGAAATTATTGAGTTTTGAAATAAAATGTTATGTTTTTATGATCGCACGGTGCCCATACATAAATTGTAAGGAAATATAATTTTTAAAAAGTTAAGTGAAAGTCTGGAGCCCCATCCGCCGCCCCCTCGCTAATGTATATGATAGATGAATGTAATAATATAGCATGTTTCTTTTGTAAAGAAACATGTCAGATAAATTGCCTCAAAAATTAAAACATTGCTGATAGGAACATGTAATTGAGAATGGGGAAAAAGCGGCCATTTTGGAAAGAGAATAACCTATCACCCAAACACCCTGTTCACTTAAATATAATAACTTGAGAACCATTCGGCTTATAATCGCAAAGTTGATCCAGGCTTGTAAATGATCCCTTTGTAAGATTAGGAGATTCTTTGTCAAGCTTACAATGACGTTAAATAAGACTTCGTAAAAACGAATTAATTGCCGGGAAAAAAGTGTCGAAAATGTCACCTTAGAGGCTCCATAGTTGTAGCTATATTGTTGATATTGATGTATTTTGGAATATCAAACATAAAAGTGCGATTTAATATCGTCCTCAAGAAACGCACGGATTTATGCCACGCAAAGGGACGGAGATGCTGCAAGAGTTAGCAAACGTATTTTTTCTGATAACCGACGGAATGTTTCTTTTTTTATATATAAATCTCAATGGTACGTGAATTAACCGTTGTCAAAATGGTTATAATATATCCTATAGATGGCAGAATGAAGTGTTATGTTTTTTGTTGCTTTGTTTTTGTGGTGTAATGGTTGATATTTCTGCTATTTCAACTACTACTTCTTTATAATATAATAAATAAGTTTTTGAGATAAAAAGTTCATGTCTTTTATAGGAGTTCTTCCACGGGATGAATGATACAGTGTATCTTATTTTTTTTTGTGAAGATGGATACAGTATAATTACATTGTATAATGACTTGACTCGAATTGATCTGACAAAACCATAACCTTGACCCAAACACTTACCTTACCTTACCTGTCTAACCATACCATAACTTGACATAACTTTTATTAATTAAACTAAACTTAAATTAGTTTAACTTTGTTTGGCTTAGCAGCTTAGCTTAACTTTATTCAACTTAGCTTAGCTTAATGTGTATCTTTTCATAAATTCATTCTTCTACGTATATTTAGTATTGTATTGAAATAATCAACGGGTAAGATTGTAAGAACAGATTAAAATGTAACATACTAGTATAACATGAAGTTGATACCAACAAATGACGGCTTTAAAATATTAAGATTTTAATAATACACCATACTTGCCTCCATTTTCTAAGTTGAGCATACGTTCTTCAAGGCTGGTAATCTTACTCCCAATTGTCTTAACTGAATGTTCCAAACGGACAAGGCTTTCAAGAAGTTTTTGTTCGAAAGCAAACCTTGGGCATTTACTCTCTCCTGACTCCATCGCGTCTGTGCTCGACAGCAGCAGTGCGCAAAAAATTAAATTTTTAAAAACTTTAAATTTCATCCTTTCTGAATTAGCACAAAACGGTGTTACATGCGGTGTAGCCTATTGTACTTTCATGGATTTAACAATAATTATCAGGGGGAAGTGTAGAGGGTCTGCCGGGAAATTAAAGTGAAGACTTCCTGCCCAATCGGACATCCTCGGCTATTATCTATAATTACCTCGGAAACAGAAGTTTTCTGATGTAAACAGAAACAGAGATAATGTAAAACGAATGTATATATATTTGACATCTAATGTCTGTTCCGGTACTCTTATGCTCAAAAATATGCATGACAACAATGTGTAATTTAAATATGCCCACTGATGTTCAATTTTAAACAAATCCGACTAAATGTCAACAGGTTGGTTTTTTGTACTTTCGGTTTCTACAACCATAATAATACATATATAAATAATGTGTTGTTTGCTTTTGTACCTATGAATTCACTAATTTTAGGTGAACTTTTACTACATATATTGGAAATAAACTTGTCAACAACTCCCAACATTAAATTACTATTTGTTTACATGTTTAGTTTCTTAGCGTAGGTTAGACCGAAATACCGCATCCGTTCTGTGTACGAGTATTCATACTATTGTGTTCGAGGTCCTTATCCGATGACTGACGGAAAGGGCCGAGTAGTTGCGACTGCTTCCTGCCGGGAAATTGTTTTTATTTGCTAATTTGATTGCCAAGTTCGGCTGCAAAACAGCAGACACTTATATGAATTTGAATAAGACGCTTGATTTCCTGTGGAATGACATATTTTATTTAAAGAGTCCTAAATAAAAATACAAGCGAGGTTTTACGCACGCGTAAAATGGCTGCTTAGGAATGGTCAGCTGTGCACTGCATTCTCTAAGAATAACCACAATATTGCTACGTAGACGGATGTCTGTTTAGATCTGCGCAGATTTTAATCCCCTTCCGCATAGCGTAAAGGGATTATAGGAATGGTCTCAGTCTGTCAGTCCGTCCGTAATACTTTCGTGTCCGCTCCATAACTTTTAAACCACTGAATTTTTTTTAAATAAATTGGTACAAGTAATCACCATAACGAGACGATGTGCAGAGCGCAATAATTAGGTTGCTACCCCCAAAGTCAAGGTCACACTTAAAGGTCAAATGTTAAAAGCTCTTCATTTCGTAATAAAAGTCTACATTTCGTTTCCACTCAAAAACTTTTAAACTTCTGGTTTTTTAAATAACTTGACAAAAGTTATCACCATAATGAGACGATGTGCAGAGTGCAATAATTAGGTTGCTACTCCCAAGGTCAAATGTAAAAAGCTATTCATTTTATAATAAAAAGTCTTACTTTTACTTTAAACGACATCTCCTCATAAACCGCTCATCCAATTTCATTCAAACTTCACAGGAATGTTTCTTTGGTAGTTATCTTTAAAACTTATTCAAAGAATTTACTTCCAAGCAGAACTCTGGTTGCCATGACAACCGAAAGAAAAATATCTTTTTTTAGAAAACCGAAAGAGCTTGAGCTTAAATACTTGGCATGAAACATCATCTAGTTAGTGTATAAAAGCCCTGGGGTAAAATTGGCCCCTTTCCAGGGGGTCATTGTTTCTCTCTCAGGGGGGTCATTGTTTCTCCATTTATGTATATAGTAAAATCTTAAAAAATCTTCTTTTAAAAACCCCAAAGTGCTAGAGCTAAGATATTTAGCACAAACATCTTCTAATGGGTGTCTACCAAGTTTGTTCAAATAAGGGCCATTGGGTTAAAATTGGCCCCGCCACAGGGGTCATTGATTTTCCTTATATGTGTATAGTAAAAACTTAAAATCTTCTTTTAAAAAACCCAAAAAGCTAGAGTTTAGATACTTAGCATGAAATATCTTCTAGTGAGTGTCTACAAATAAAAGCCCTGGGGTCAGAATTTGCTCCTTCGAGGGGGGGGGGGGCATTGTTGTTTTTCCCTTTATGTAATTATAGTCAAAACTTAAAAAAATCTTTTTATAAAAACCCCAAAGAGTTAGAGCTTAGATATTTATCATGAAACTTCTTCTAATGGGTATCTACCAAATTTGTTTAAATAAAATCCCCTGGTTTAAAATTGGCCTTTGCCCGGGGGCCTATATACAGGTGAGCGATTTCAGGGCCATCATGGTCCTCTTGTTAAGATTACTTGGCAGAAATGATCACCATTATGACACCATTGTCAGAACACAATAATCAAGTCACATCTTGAAGGTCAGGGTCACACTCAAAGGTCCAATGTAAAAAACATCTATTTTTCATGTCCGCTATATAACTTTTTGACAATTCAAAGGTTTTAAAATTCCTCGACACAAATTGCTACCCCCAAGGTCAAGGTTATATGTTTTTCATAACTTTTATTTACTTTACGGAAGATTTCAAATAACATGGCACAAATAATCACCATCATAATTATGATATGCATGGCATAACATCAAGGTCGTGACTGGTAAAAGGTTCACTGCGGAAGGGGATTTAGCTGTCCTTCAGCATGCCTTGTTTGAATTAAAGCGGAATCATTAAGACATGAAAATCCTTTATGTAATACTAGTAGTACTCGTTTTATAATGTGAAATGATGGGTACCCTTTAGTGAACGACGTATTGTGCCAGGAATCCAACGCCATGTATCTTATTGATATATATAGACGCGACATGGTTTATCATAATGCCTTAGATATTTTTAAATTTATCCCAATTAAACGATATTTAAACTTTTAAGAAGCAAATGACCAACAAAAAATCCCCCCTCCAAAAAAAACAACACTAACAAAAAAAACAAGAGCCGGTTGAACCGGGTGATGCTCCCCGAATAGGTTTTGGACACAGGAAGGTATACCTCTTGTAGTGTCAGAGTTATGTCACAGACAAAGTTCAAAGGGTAAAAACAACCCAAATGTTGTGCACGATACATTGTCTGAATATGGTGATCATTTCTGTGAAATAGTTTTAAAATCCGACTTCAAATAACCAAGTTATGGGCCGGACACGATTTTGCTGCAAAGTCATGCTGTGACCTTGACCTTCAAGGTAGCGAACCAAATGTTGAGCGCGACACGTTGTCTCAATATGGTTATCATTTCTGTGAAATAGTTTTAAAATCCAACTTCAAATAACCAAGTTATGGGCCGGACACGATTTTGCTGCAAGGTCATGCTGTGACCTTGACCTTCAAGGTAGCGACCCAAATGTTGAGCGCGACACGTTGTCTCAATATGGTGATCATTTCTGTGAAAAAGTTGTAAAATCCGGCTTCAAATAACCAGGTTATGGGACGGACACAATTTTTGTTCAAGGTCATGCTGTGACCTTGACCTTCAAGGTAGCGACCCAAATGTTGAGCGCGACACGTCGTCTCAATTGGTTTACGATTGGGTACCGATGTCTGAACGGGCTGAAATTTTTTAAGGTCTCCGGCCGGTGACCGTCCGGTGTCAAGTCACCGATGAGACACCGTACGGGTAATCGGAGAATTTTAGCGCGGAGTTTTTTCTTGCGGCATCCGGTACATTGCCAGCTTACCGCAGCAGACACAGTGAAATACCCTCCGATACCCGGCCGGACACCTTTTGGTATCGTTTGCATGTCGGTGAAAATTTTCACATTCTGAGCGCTAAATAATCCTCCAGTTTTCGAGCGATATCCGAGCGGTCACCGAAGGCGACTCGGCAGGTTACCGGCTGGGACCCGGATAGACGCAATATGTTGCACGTATGGTCTTAAGGTGCCCTTAAGGATAACATTGGGAGTATTTAACAGACCTTACGGTAGGTTAAGCGTTGGACTGTGAACAAGGCGACCCGTGTTCAACTCTTGACCAAGAAGTTCCCTTACGTTCTACAGAAGTTATCAATCCCTTACTAAAGTGAAGAGATTATTACTATATACCTGCTTGACAGGCTGTCAAGGAACGATGCCGAGGCTGGCCAACTGAAATTTCTGTTGAGTTGTTTCGGTCGAGACTTAAAATGAGGTCCCGTGTATAAGAGCTTTAAACACTTGGACAGCATTAGATGGAGAAGCTTCTTGGCTTTGCCTTGTGCACTCTCCTGGTTTGTTTGGTGTCCTGCTAGGCTCCTTGCATGTGGTCCTGTGTTGCTGGATAGTGTCGGGTTTATTTCATTGAACTCCGCCCTTCCTTGTTAATCTTGTTTTTCATAATTTTTCTGAAATTGAGACTTCTTGCTGTATTTGTATCTTGCGCTGTCCTTAAAAATCTAAAACGAATAATACTCTTCTTGAGGACTCGCCTGTACGGGCAACCGATGGCGAGAATAAAGAAACTTAATTACACACATATGTTCTCTCATTAAAAGTTCTGCATTTTCACACATGTCATATGTTAGTTCCATTTACAATCTTTTATCGAAAACTTTGATTTCAAGGTGTTATATGCCTTCCAGAAAAGAACGGTGAGAAAGAAGTCTGAGGGGAGGAGGGCAAGCTAACCAAAAAAAACAAAGCAAATGGCCAGCAAAAGAGGGGAACACGAAGAACGGCAGGAAAAAGGGAGAACATGCCATTCGAATACCGTCTGACAGCTGGTCGGATATCGCACGGCTTTTGTCCGTATACTTTAGGGTCATTGTACGATGGCTGTAAAATATGATAAACAAGATCGACAAGGAAAGGCGGCATTCAATGAACGCAGCCCCCATCCGACCCAGCAACAAGCGTCAGCGGCAAGGAGCCCAGGAGGACTCCAAAGAAAAACAGGACAGGGCACAAGGCAGAGTACGGGCAGGCAAACCCGGCCGGATAACGGAGGGCAATCGGACATTTACCATAGGATACTCTGCCGATTAACTTAAGAATATCGATCGGATGCGAGAAGATGCCAAGTGTTTTCACCGGGTGAATACCTTTCGGAGTCCGTCCGAATAACTACCGGACCACAGAGGGTGAATGACCACCCACTTCTTTCCGGACATTATTGAAATGTTTCTCTCCGATCTCAAATTGTCAACGGTGTCCCATCGATCCATCTATATCGGCTGGTCCCCTCTAGTTATGTGACGTAGGCATTATAGAATTAAGTTGCCAAATGGTGACCTATTACTTTACAGTTCCCCTCTAGGTTTATCATTGCTATTTATAGATGAAACGCGTTTAC